ACAGCAACCAACAGCAACCAACAGCATCCAACAGCATCCAATAGCAAACAACCACCACAGCCCTTCTACTGGAGCTCTAACACTTATACATCCTCTTAAAAGTCTCCAAAATTCCAAGCATCACACATTCGCAGAAACTATCTGCAGCTGTCAAAACCACGCCCCTTCTAGAGCATGAGGCAAATCAGTCAGCTACTGTGAAGCAGCCCCATATCCCACACCTGGGATTAAAACAGAAACTTCTGCTTTAAAAGAAAACAAAATTCTCACTCAGACTTGTGGTCAATCAAATTAAACTTACTTTAAATGAGCTCACTAAATAAAGAAAACCTGTCCTGAATTCTTGTAAAATGGAAGCTCCCGAAGTACCCAAATTAGAAAGCACATACAGTACAGTAACTGCAATGTCATCCTTATCCACACACACCTGAAACTTGGCAGAGGCAGCCAACCTGGCAAGAGCCAGGCAGCGTGGCTAAAACCTCCGTCCAGGTCTGCGTACAGCTGAGCCACCTTCTCGTTGAGTTGACTTCTAATTTCTTTTCCGTGTAAACAATGGCTAGCTGTTAGAATTATGAGCTCAGACAGCGCTTCGAACACATCTAAGGGGAAGAAAAAAAGCATTCTCAATACTAGCTCTAAAAATCTTTTAAAATTTTTTCTTGAGCATATAAGGAAATTGTGACAAAAAGATTGGGAATATATATAGCAGGTCCCTAAAACCAGAGGCATAAACACAGCAGTCTTGTCTGTATGCACTATAGCCACCATTACACAACCCAGCACTGGAGACAAGCATCGGGTAGGCCCACTGGACGGTACTTAAACGTGGCAAGAAGCATCTAATTCTGTTTTTAGCTCTACTGTCACATCTGACTTCCCCCTTGGAAAGCACCCTGGTCCTCTTGATGCTCTTAATGACATACCCCATGCTTTATTTTCAGAGTTTTGTCTTGAACTCTTGGTTTCACATGGGTGGTGCTATATAGCACAGGCTGTCCTTGAACTTGTAATCCTTCTGCCTCAGTTTCCCAAGTGCTAGAATTCCAGGCAAGTGCCACAGTTATTTGCCATTCTAGGTGAAATTATGCCTGTAATCCCAGTATTCAGGATGCAGGAGCAGGAAGATCCCTAACTATAGAGCAAGGCTCTTCACAAGTAAGTTAATTACTAGGTATTCTAATGTATACATCAGCTTCTTTTGAGACGAGAAAACACATCACATCAGCTTCGGGTGTTCTAAAAATAAAGTGTCTACACCTTTTACGGGAGCTGATGGCCAGCCTGGAAGGTGGCAACCTGCTGCCTGAGATCCTTCTGGCCTAGACAGATATTGCTCCTGGCATAGACATGCCAATTGCCTCTCTGAAGAGAATCCTTAGAAGTGTTCTATAAAGGCTGGGTTTGCCATTACAACTGCACCTCCTTCCCATTAGAGACATGGCGCCTCTGCACATAATGTGCTTTGTTTTCTACGTGGAGAGAAAAGAATTGAGACAAATGTAATGCATTTTGCTTACTTCTTTCTCCGCTTTCTCCCCAACTTTGGAAGTATTCCTTTGCTTCCTTTTCAATGATAGGAACATACTGCTTAAAGTGGGCTATGTTAAGGCCACTTTTTAACATTTTCTTCTGCTCCAGGAAAACCTTGAAAAAAATGTTAAGGGTATATAACATTAAAAGACACTTTTATTTTATTCTGAGATACAGCATGTAATCCTAACTGCATAACAGAGGAAACAATGTTCTTAAATTTGAAAATAAAAACAATAACAGGATTTTTACAAACTAACCATATATGGCATCCAGGCCATGTATTTGAAAGAATACACTTAAAGAAGGGTCCTCCTCCTGGGTCCTAGAAAGTAAGTCAGGAAGCACACTTCTCACCTTCTAATAATCCACAACTCGACACAGCGACCTGCCTTCCTCCTGTTATCTTCCAACCCTCCAAACCAATCCAGTCAACCCACGCTTCCCAAAGTTACTCAACTGTTCCCAACGCTACTCAACTGTTATTTTATCCTCCGTTGTGTATGTTCTCATTCTTTATCTAAACAGCACTCACTGCTGACACTATCTTCCAGAAGCCTACAACAGCCTGAATAAAAACTTGTCTGTTAAAATAACTAACAGCCCTTTGAGACATTAACGTTTCTAGTCTACTAAAACGTATTTAAGATATCAGAGATGAATCTGAGCAAAAATGTTTGACAGCTATTGCTGTTTGATGTAAAGGGAGACATTCATCTCCCCGACTACTCCCAACCCCAGAAACATTAATATTAACCCTTAACTGCCATACTCAAGTGGGCTATGCCTATTATGGCCCTGACTAGAGTTCACCAGGCACCGGAGTCTGTTATCTAATCTATATTGTATGCATAACACTTGAATAAGTAATGAATAAGCCTTGCCAACCAATATAAAACAAAACACCCTTAACAGCTACCCATGGTTTCTTTTTAAATGTCACAAATTGTCAGATTTCTTAAGCTAGGGAATAAATGAAATCTTCATTATATACGCATAACATTACACAACTAGTTGGAACAACTATAGTTGAGATTTATCTTTTATCCAGGACAGAAGCACAACTTACTGCGTTTGGCACATCATATGCAACTCCCTTCCCAAACACAGGCGTCGTCAGTCGACCGTAGACGTCTTCTGCATTCAGGTCTTCGTTTTTACTGTTGAAGAGCAGCGCAGCTGCGTCACTCCCCAAAAGGTAAGTGAAAGTCTTGCCCACCATGGTAAAGCTAAACACAGGTCCATACTAAAGAGAAAAAGACCCAAGGTTGTGTTACAAAGACATTTCTTACGTCACAGAATAATACTTTGCTGAAAGTTCCAAATCTGCATAAATTCTGAAGCACGAGCTTTCATCTGGCCACACCCCTCCTCCTGTCTTCATCACAAAAGCAGTATAAACAATGAATTCTTCTTTTTTCACGGTTCATCCTGAAGATATTTTCTGCCATGCAAAACATCAGAGCTCTGATGTATCTTCTAATTAAATATCATTGTTAGCTTCAGTCCGTTGCTCTCAGTATTAGACATATAAATTTTTAAGTATTGTGTTGTTCTATACTGGCTATATTGAATTCTTTAATCAACATTTAAAAGAATATACTTTTTTCCCCTTTTGTTAAAATCTAATTTAATTGGGGCTGTTGAGATGGCCAGATAGGTAAAAATCATTTGCCATCAAGCCTGGTGATGATTGGAATTTGATCACCGGAATCCATGAATCAAATGACATCAAAGAATCATTACAATTCAAGTATTTGCACAAGTAAATCAGAAGTGTGGTATAACAACTGGTGTATGCCTCTTTTCTTGCAGGGGATCTGAGTTTGGTTCCCAGAGCCCATACTGGTCAGCTCACACCTTCATCTCTAGGGGATCCAGCGCCCTCTTCTGGCCTTGGCAAGCAACTGCATTTAGATGCACATACTATCAGAGACACAAAGGCTTACACAGATTTAAAATGATACCTTTTAAAAAGGTGTCAAGAATAGACTTAGGAACCCAACAACCTCTTAGCTGAGGAGCTGATGACAGTCCGTGGCTGCTAAAGGCTGAAGAGTCAGTTTCTTAAGGATGAGGTCCCAAGTAGGCTGACCATGCTCTAATGGATGGCCCCACTCACATGCATGTATAGATGACACTAACTGGACTCAGTGGGTTGTTTTGGAGAAAATGGTAAAAAGTTGACAGAGAGACATGGCGGGGGAAGGACCAAGGAGGAACTGGAAGAGGAAAGTGGGCGGTGACTAGGATTGAAGTACATACGATTGAAATACTTGATACATTTACAAAATTCTCAAAGAACACTTTAAAAGAGACTAAAACAAAGATAGAGTTCAGTTAAATAATATTGGGAAGTGAAAGAATTAACAAGAACTCCAAAGCCAGTCCTGGCTGATCTGATGCCAAAGCACTGTTTTCAAGGGAAGAAGCAAAGACTTGAGTACCCACACCATCCAGGTGGAGACTGACATCCCACAGGATGGGCAGAACCAGAAATGTAAGACACAACATTCCAAAGATACATGATTAAGAGAAGTAGGTGTCAACTTTGACTATAATTGTAAAAATAAAATGTAAGACTTATTTTTTTAAAATGTACTTGTTAGAACTACCGGTTTCCTCACATCTCAGAGCCTATACCCTAGGACAGACACTCTGGGAAGCTAAGAGTCAACAAAGTCTTCTCACTTCATGCTTTCAATACTGCCAATAAGCAGGAAGGGCACAGTCTTTTTAAAAATGTCTTTCTGTTTAAAGAAAAGCACTTCTCTACACTGGCTTCTCTGCCTCTGGTTATTTAGAATACTTACCTTCTCATATGCATTTTCCAGGAACTCAATCGGACTTCTCCCAAATGCTATTGCGTGACCAAGGAATGGAATTGGAGAGTAAATATACGGTGGACTTTTCTGCAAGAGAAAAATGAAACCCTTAGTTTTCATTTTATTAAAAGGAAAGTTTCATTTGATAGCCAGCTTGAGAATGTTTTTAACAAAACAAAACAAAAACATAGAGTATTATTTAGAGAAGGTATAGCTCAAAAAAGCAAACTCAAAATAGAAATGACTAGACAGGAAGGCACTGCGATTTTAAACACTCCGACACCATCCAATAGTATTGGAGGCTTCAGGCAACCTTTCTAGCCCTCAGCGGAGCAAACAAACAGGAGAGTTGATTACAGTTCTGTGTTTTCTGCAGGCTACTACTGTTCCCTTCAATCCCAGAGTCTTGCCTGATATTTTCTAGAACAGAAAAAGCCAAACAGTAACCCACAGAAAAAGAAAATGTTTCTCAAATTTACAGGGAAAAGCCAATATGCTATGTGTCTCTGATCCAAATATCTAGATCCACCATTATTGAGAATGGACCCTCTTCAGCAGAAATTCTGTAGTAGTCTTAAAGGAAGCCACAAAATGCACACTGCAAGACTGTGAAGATAAACCTTCATCATCCATGATGAAAATGGATGGTGTTCCTCTAATCTTTAGTGATCTCAAAACACCAAAACCTCACAGCACTTCAGAATAAGGTACCTTTGTCTAGTGACAAACACTATCTCCTCAAAAATCCATGGGAGCTGGGTATGTAATGCACACCCAATCGGTGAAGGCTGGAAGGTGTGCCAAGGTGAGCTGTGAGCCTGAATAGACAACGAGTTCTACAGCCACCCTGGCCTATATATAATAACACCTCATCTCAAAATTAATAATAATAATAATCTTTTAAAACCTTGTGTCTAATAAAAGTAAGAAATAGTAACTGCCTAGCGATTGCTTGGGTTCAAAGATTATTTTTAAAGTAACTTGGTTGGAACTTAATGCTGGATACAGTGCAGTTGAGTTTTTATATTTCACTGTCACTTTCAAAGGGATGGTTTTCAAAGCTACCGAATGTTGATTATAAGGGTATTTATCAAATCTATTTAGGCGGCTTGAAATTAGTGGTTTGGTGTAGCGCTAAGCTAGAAAAACTGGTATTTTAACAGTATCACAGGAAAGCGCTTACCACACTCCCAAGTGCTTACCACACTCTCAAGTCACTTATGAACTATCTCCCTGGCACTGATATTAATCATCATTATTCCCAACAGCCCACAGTATACTAAACACACAAGGCAGTATGGAGAGTGACGGCCACCGGGGACCCAACTGCCCTTAACTTGTCAGCAAGGGCCTCACAAAGAGCTCAAACACTTCCGACAACTTACAGCAAAGTGAGTACAGTGCTCTGCACTTAGAGCCATGCCCAAGGCGATCAGACTAGCCAACTCCACCCAGTGAGGCCACCAGTCTGCACATCCATCACTGACTACAAACCCTGCAAAGCACGATCCTAGCCAGAAGTTCAAAACCGCTGTCACAGCAGAAACTGCGACGGTCAGCACAGTCCCCCCGAGTACGGATTCCAGCGACGAGACCAGAAAGACCACCGCAACAGCAAAGATAGGATGACCTGCAGCACTGGCGTCTGCAGTCGCCACCCAAGCTCCCCGCGCGCCCGCCACCGCTAGCGCCCCGGAGCCCGCCCGCTTAGCCCGGGCACAGACCGAGGACCCCTGGGGTGCACGTACCGCTCCAGCAGGCAGCTGGACCATGTGGCCCACTGCAAGGCGGAACAGGTAGACCAGGCTGAGCGTGAAGGCGCAGGCGATGAGCAGCGTGGAAAGCAGGTTGCCTCCCGTCACCTGCTCCATCGCCTGCCCGAGCACCGAGCCGCCAGACTGCAGCAAGCCCAGCAGTACCATCCCGACCGTCGCTTCGATCCACCCGGCAGGCTAGAGGCAGAGTTCGCGGCCGCTTCTCGAGAAAGGTGGAGCAGGAGAAGCCGGCAAGTGGGCGTCGGGAGGCGGCCCCGGCCTCGGGGTGTCGACTGGCCCGGGCCCCTCCCACACCCACAGCCTGCCCGCGCGCCACCAGGACGTCACAGACGGGGCGGGGCCTTCTGGTGGTCACGCCCCCGGCTAGACGCGAAAGATCCTTGCGCCACCGAGGGGACCTGAAGAAGCGGGCTCTACCGTGGCACTTGGTCACGGTGAAGAAAGTGATGGCTACAGAAATGACCACGCCCTGAGAACCGCAGGCCACGAGGGCCCGCGTGCCTGACGAGCACCGCCCCGGGAGCGGGCACGGGCGGGCCCGGCGGAGGGATCTCAGGACCAGCGTGGTGGCGGACAGCGGCAGAGGCGAAGGCGCTCTGTGATTGCACCGCGCGCTGCTGAGGTGATCTCGGCCTATGTGGCGTCAGCAGAGCTGGCGGCCCGGGCACCGCCCCTCTGTGGGGCGCGGGCCTCCGCAGCTATTCCGCCAAGGTGTCACAGAATGCCTCAGGAACAATACAATCGTGCAGATGCAAACTGGAGGGTGAGAACGTCGGATCGCCGGTACTGCTCAGTTAGTCTGTTTGACAGGTTGTTCATGTAGGGCCACGTTGTTAAAAAATGATAGTTGTTTAGTGTGCTGTTGTAGCAAGTCTTCCAAAATAAATACAGGTCATAAGTAAAGTGAGGCAGATGGCCCCAAACTCCTGTTCTGATAGCTGGATCTGAAGCAGGAGTTACCCTGATCTCACTCCTGTGACTTCAAATAAAGAATCTGGTGACATGCTTCCAAATTAACCCTCCTTCTAGATCACTTAACATGAGGTCCTGACCTCATTTATTCATTCAACCAGGGTTAAGAGCTAGGTTTTTGGCTAAGTTTTAAGCTAAGTGATTGTCAAAACTGCGAGAACCTCCAGAAATGAGTAAGACTGTCCAGACGCCGTCTAGATAATTCTACCTAGAGAGCTCACATTTTGTCATAGCCAATAAATAAAGCACACTACTATACTCATTACCTCTTCCCACAGAGGACTCTGCCTCCCGCCTATGTAGGAAGTACCTAATTATAGATGCAGTGCCTATGGAGGGAAGACAGACAACACTGTTTACCAGTGTCCTCCTGCTTCATATCAGTCACGAAATCTTGTACCACTTCATTTTTATTGCCACTGCTGTAGGCGTCATCATTTCTGATAAGATTATCTACAACAGAAACTTTGGTCGCTCATTTCTAAGCCTGCTTTATGTGCCACTTCTTGATTTACTGGATTGACTTCATTGTTAAACCTGAAAATCTCTAGGAGAGAGACAAATTCCACAACTACCAAATTAAAGAAAGCTTTATTTAATACTGGCCAGGAAGATGAACCCTGGCCAGGTCCATACCCATGATCCCCAGAGAATGGCCAAAAGCTACACTGGACTGGTACCTGTAAAGGCCGAACCCACAAAGCTATGGTACTTCCTGCCTTAGTCCAATAGGGACAAGCATTCATCCTGACTACTTCTAGTCAGTGTATCTCCCACCTATGTATCATCAAGTACAACCTGTGCAATTGGTTCAACCAGCCTTGTTTATTGAAGTGAAAATACATGAACTACAGACTCCAAAATTTCAGGATATTATCTGTCCTTGGACAAATGGGACTTACCATTGAACACTGTCAATCTAAAATATGGAAATCCTAAAAGATCAAAATTCTTAAATAAAAATCAGAGGCAAAGTATTATTTAAAAAAAAGTGATTGTCTTGATGATTTTTGAGAAACATCTCTGGCAGCCTTGGAACTCTTGTGTACAGCAGCCTGACCTCATACTCACGGAGGTCCACCAGCTTCTGCAGCTTGAGTGATGGGTGGGATTCAAGTTGTACGCCATCACACCCAGCCTAGATTCTAAAACTTACCTGTTAAAGAAGATATATTTGAGTATCCTGTAAAAGTATGGCAATATTTATATACCATCTTATACAATAAAATAGTGATTACATTTTTGTAATCACAAACTTTCAGGTATACTCATGAAAGCTGTGCCAAGTGATGATGAGTCAAAAGGTGAACTATAGTGTATAATCCCAAACACTGGGAGGCAAATGCAAGTGGATGTCAGTGAGTTTGAGGCTACCCTGATCTACATAGGGAGTTCAAGGGCAGCCAAGTCTACATAGTAATACTCTATGTTAAATACCCCATCAAAAATGAATTTTTATGAGTGTATAACACTATGATTGATAATTATCTGTAGCTAGTTTTATAATTACACTCTGAAATACCATGACGACCCAAGTTAATGAGTCTAAACAAAACTGCTATGAGTTACAAATGACCATGTGGTCCAAAAAGCCAAGATCTCAAAGAGTATTTTTGTATGTACTGACAAAGTTTTAATACACATACAGTGTTTACAAACAAAAGTTACTTGTAATGCATTTTTTTGTGGACTCAAAGTTGGTAAACAAAAAATGTGTAAAACAAGCCCATCTAAAAGTCTTTGCACAATTTACATCACTAGCATTGGATATAATGTAAAGAAATCATGGCAAGTTGTCAGGAATAATGGTAATTATCAAAAATAAAAAATAAATAAGGATCGTGAAAATCCACCAATCTCCTTCTGGTCTGGGCTCGAGCACTGAGCAGATCTCGGGTGGTCAGAGGTCTGCACCCAATCTCACGAATCCCAGAGGAAGCAGGCCTCCCAGGAGCTCTAACCTGGGCAGTATCTTAGGTAAGGAGACAGCAACACCTGCCCCAAACAGGGAGTAACTGGGACCCACTGGGACCCAGGAATTCACTCCTGGCCCGGAGCACTGGTTCCTTCCTGTCTGCACCCAAGCATTGAGCAGATCTTGGGCCCCAGCTCTAACCGGAGTAGTAATACCCACCCCACAGAGTTCTGAAACAACCAAGATAATAGGAAAGACAGGCTCCAGTAAGAGACAGGGTAGGTATCCCTAAAGTGATCTAGATGGCAAAAGGCAAGCGCAAGAACATAAGCATCAGCAACCCAGGGTACTTGGCATCATTAGAACCTAGTTCTCCCACACTAGAAAGTCCTGATTTCCCCATATCACCAGGAAAGCAAGATTCAGATTTAAAATCACTTCTAATGATGATGATAGAGGACTTTAAGAAGGACATAAATAACACTCTCAAAGAATTTGAGGAGGACACAGGTAAACAGGTAGAAGCCCTTAAAGAGGAAACACAAAAATCCCTTAAAGAATTACAAGAGAACACAACCAAACAGGTGAAGGAATTGAACAAAACCATCCAGGACATAAAAATGGAAGTAGAAACAATAAAGAAATCACAAAGGGAGACTAGCCTGGAGATAGAAAACCTAGGAAAGAAATCAGGAGTCATAGATGCAAGCATCACCAACAGAATACAAGAGATAGAGGAGAGAATCTCAGGTGCAGAAGATACCATAGAAAATATTGACACAACTGTCAAAGAAAACACAAAATGCAAAAAAGTTCTTAACACAAAACATCCAGGAAATCCAGGACACAATGAGAAGCCCAAACCTAAGGATAATAATTATAGGGCCAATGCATACCTTCAACAAAATTATAGAAGAAAACTTCGATAATCTAAAGAACGAGATGCCCATAAACATACAAGAAGCCTACAGAACTCTAAATAGACTAGATCAGAAAAGAAATACCTCCCGTCACATAATAAAACACCAAATGCACAAAACAAAGAAAGAACATTAAAAGCAGTAAGGGAAAAAGGCCAAGTAACATATAAAGGCAGACCTATCAGAATTATACCAGACTTCTCACCAGAGACTATAAAAGCCAGAAGATCCTGGACTGACATCATACAGATGTCAGTCACCCTAAGAGAACACAAATGCCAGCCCAGGCTACTATACCCAGCAAAACCCTCAATTACCATAAATGGAGAGACCAAGATATTCTATGATAAAGCTAAATTTACACAATATCTTTCCACAAATCCAACATTACAAAGGATAATAGCAGGAAAGCTCCAATACAAGGAGGGAAACTATACCCTAGAAAGAGGAACAAAATAATCCTCTTCCAACAAATCCAAAAGAAGATAGCCACACAAAGATAATTCCACCTCTAATAACAAAAATAACAGGAAGCAACAATCACTGTTCCTTAATATCTCTTAACATCAATGGACTCAATTCTCCAATAAAAATATATAGACTAACGGACTGCATATGTAAACAGGACCCAGCATTTTGCTGCATACAGGAAACTCACCTCAGTGACAAAGACAGACACTACCTTAGAGTAAAAGACTGGAAAACAATTTTTCAAGCAAATGGTCCTGAGAAACAAGTTGAAGTAGCCATTCTAAAACCTCCAGCCGGAGAACACAATGGGAGAGACTCATGGCTCAACCTGTATAGATAGTTGAGGGTGGCCTTGTCAGGCATCAGTGGAAGTGGAGGGCCTTGGTACCCAATAGTGTGGATTCCCTAGTGTTGGGGAATTCGAGAGCAGGGAGGTGGGAATGGGAGGATGGTGGGAGCACACCCTCATAGAAACTCCCAGAATTATATGGATTAGACATGACAGAGGCAGGCCACCAGAAGACTAGATTCCAGAATTCAAACAAAAAATTATCCTGATACTATAATTTGTTTTGAGAATTGTATATTGCAGAATACACAGTCTTGGTGTATCTACTCATCAAGCAAGCTGAGCAGACCTGGTTGAACCTCTGATGTCCTGGAATTTCAGCTGGATGCAGTGAAGACACAGATGTCAGAAGCTTAACAATTTACTCTTCTCCCCACCCCTCTTCTAATATCTCAACGCCCATAACCAGCTTGAAAAAGTTAATGAAGAGTCAGTGCCCCTATTCCCTGGGCTTGGGGACCGAGGTGGTTAATATTGGGCTGTCTTTCTAGGGAAAAGTAGTGGTTTTGTAGCAACAGGGAGGAATAGCTAGGATTTATTGCATAGCCATAACCTATTGGTAGAAATCTGTATAATTGTTATTAAGCTGAAGTTATAATTTCTTAAATGGTACAAAATTTAC